TCATGTAATTAACTTGTGATTGTGTTCTGTGCCAGCTGGCTGAAACTTGTCAGTTTTTTAAAAAAGCCTTTCAGACCAGCCACAAATAAAGCTTTTTAAATGTTGGCATTAACAAATAGCTCAATAGTCACCTTTTGGGCTAATTAAGGGAGACTACATCCAAGGCAGTAAAGAAGAGCAGTGGGTGACTAAAGGCAGCTACCAGGCTGAGCTCTATGGTACGGGGGACACAGTTCATCACCTTGCACCCTTTGCTGTGACCATCGTGTTCTCAGTTACATAGGTTTGTGATGTCCCCCTCCGTGGCGTCATCCTTCCCTGCTCAGCTCTGTAAGGCTCCACCAGACCTTCTCAGTCCCACTTGTGTTGCCTTTGGGCAGATGGAAAGCTGAGGAGAGGAGGTGCAGAAAGGTGACGCTTTTGCAGGGCAGCGATACCTGCCCAAGAGCAGCTGCTGCTTGCCCAAGAGATGTGACTTCATCTCTGCACTGCTCCCACATTTGGCATACATGGTCTTTTTGACACATAAAAGTTTTTCTCTGAGCAAAACTGAGGGCCAGGGGATGTTCTGACTTCTCTGGACTCACTGGGAGTGAGAAGAGTCTGGATTAGAGTGTAGGCACCATCAGGATGCACATACCATTTTGGTGAGCACTGGGCTGCAACAGGCACCATAAGGATGTCTATACCATACATGTGAGTGTGGTGCTGAGCATTTCCAGCCCATGCCTGATGAGAGGAGGACTGTGTGACTATCCCAGTATTTTTGCAGGGCACTGGGAAACATCCCAAGGGAAGGGATCTGCCTTGCAGTATTTAATCCTAAGTGTGACTGCTGCAGGACTTCTGCCCAAGGCCTGCTCCTGCAGTCTGCCTGAGCTCCCTGCCTCTTCTCCAGCTGGACCAATCTCCCTTCTTCAGTCCCTGCTTCTTGCCTCAGCCTCAGTGCTGCCTTGGCTGCTCACCTCATCCCTTCAGCATGGTGAATGCCTGTGCCAAACTCCACAGGTTACTCAGAGGTGCAGGTTAGGGTGGGTGCCCTTTCATGCTGTAAAACACACTGGTAACAGCTGGTCCCACTGAAGGGTTCACAATGTGAGCAGAAACAAAGATTTCTCTCTCCTGTCCTACCTTTCCTTGCCAAACTGGTACTCAACTCAGTCTCCTTGCTATCCTCTTTTTTGCCCCAACTACCAGCCCTCCTGTGGCTGGTGGCTACCTCAATTGTTTTGTAGCCCTGTGTCCCAGTCCCTGTCAATGCCTTTTCCCCCTTTACACCAGGCTGTGAAATGCTGGTGGTGGCTCTGCAGTCACTCACCCTGGCCTGGTCACCAAGCCCTGTGATGGTCTTGCTTGGGGCTGCTCTGCTGCCCAGGAACAAGCTGCCTGCACTCCAAACTGCACAACTCCCCTGAGCCAAGTCCTGCTCAGAAGGATTCAAAAGTGAGCTCTTCAAAACATACTATAAAGGGTTGGAAAGGTTGTTCATCTAAGCAAACAAATCCTTAAGTGCACAGGGCTCCTGTATGTTGTTTTGGGGTCTCAGACCAGCAAGGTGGTGTGTAGTTATCACCAGCCATCAGTGGTCACCAGCCCTTGGTGGTCACCAGCCCTAGAAATGCCTGTTGTCAAACTGGCTTGAGCACCTCATAAAGCTGTGGCCTCCTTCATCCCTCATGGAGGAGAGGAGAAGGTAAGTCTGTGCCTTCTGGAAGATGGCACTGATTTTTACCCCAGTCAAGTAGGTGGATGCAGATGGAGCTCTGAAGTTGAACTGTATGCAAGGAGACATGATGGCTCCAAGAAATGGGAGGTGTTTCGTAGAGTGTCTGCATGTTTGCCCAGCAGTGCCTGGTTTTGGGAAGCAAAAAGGATGGAGCTGATTTTGAGGGCAGTTCTCGGGCACATGCTGCTGGCTTCTTGTCCTCCAGATGCTGGAGCATTTACGCTTGATGCTTTAATGTCCTGTCTGTCTGGGTTACGCTCAGGTCATTAACTTTTATTTTCCTGCTGTTCTGGTCATGTGAATTCTGCAGTTTATGGTACTAAAAAGCTGCTGAGGGGCCAGGGAGGCTGCATGGCTGGTAGTCTTAAACTGGAAACGCTCCAGAAGAGGAGCTTAACTGGGGCTTGTCCTCTGCCAGCCACTTCTCACTGATTAGAGGGCTTGTAAAACATTGCTGAAATGGATGTTCCAATATTACACTACTTTATTCTGCAGTTTGGAAGAGATTTGTAGGTTAGGCAGAAAATGGATAGTGGTTTATGATCTATCTGGGTATTGCTGAGGTACAGTGAAAGCTGTGAAGTGAAAGGGGCCTTCATTAGTTCAGCCCCTATTGTATTTTTACATTGTATCAGGATACGACATATAGCATGAATATCAGTCAAGTCTTTTCTTCCCTTGTTCTTTCTTAGTGGACTGGTGGAAGCTGTAGGTGTGTAAAATGAGCTCCCCCTGCCCTAAATGGAGGCTAAGCACAGGATCTGAATGCAGGCACTTTGGAAAATCTGACATTTGGTTTCTCTTATTAAAAGATGAAGGCACTAGGTGTTGACTACTGGCTGCAACAAGGCTGAGTGCTTCAAACAGCTGCAGCATAAGCCCCAGCCCTCGTGAGACACCAGGCTGGCTGGAAATGCCTTTTTCTGCAGCTTTGCATTCCAGTGAGAAATCTATTGCATGAATGTTAACACAGCTAGTGGGCCCTGGTCCGTGTTCATACCCATCCCTCTCCCTCCCATCCTGCTGGGCAGCTGCAGCAGGGAGTGGACACGATGGATGCTCTGTGGTGAAACAGGGACCACAAACCCATCCCTGATCCTGTGTTGCTGGCTCTGAGGACCTGACACCACCTGCCTCTGCTGGCACCAAGCTCTGCTGTGAGGGGAAGAGGTGGATGCCCCAAATCTACAGCAATGAGTGAGGTTTATGATCTTTTCATTGTTTCTCATTGCCAGTGTCATTGTCCACTGTAAATGTTGGCTTTTGCCTTCTTTGATATTGGTTGGACCTTATGCATCAGTAAGGTCAGAATTTTACATTTGCAATTAATATTCTGTGTGACAGGAACTCAAGACTCCTGTCTACATGACTGAAGAGAAAAATAGAAAATACTTTGTTTTGGGTCATCCCCTAAGGGACAATGTTTCTTTTCTTCTTTGGTTTCTTTTCATGAGCATTGCATGAGACATTCTGGCTTGAGATTATTTAGTGCTTTATATAACTTAAAAAAGAAGAAAAAGAAGAAAAGAAAAAGTAAACTAAGTCACTTGCAAACTAAAAACATCATCTGAAAGAGCAACAACAAATGTTTCATTTTTAAAATGTCAAAATGGAGCCTTGTAGCTCTTCTCAACTTTTTCTTTCTCTTTCAGCTAAAACTCATTACATATTCAAGCCAAACTCACCCAGAGTCTTGGTACCTATTAATTGCCCTTGGGGTGAAATTACTACATCAAAAAACCCCAGTCAAGCTCTGCCTGTGTGTGGTGGTGACAGGTTCAGTTTGCTTGCCCAGCAAATGCATGCACAGAAGTATTTAGTTCTACTTAAGGTGTTGAGCAATAGAGCTGGTGAAATGGCCTCTGGCAGGTCTGGCTGGCCAGAAAAGCACCAGTAGAGCTGTGATTCACCCTGGTGAGACCCAGAAGGTCTTGGGCTGGCAGCCACAGGGGTGATACACCAGTGTGGGGCTGCTGCCCCTTCTGGCAGATCCCCCAGCTCCAGCATCTCCCCATGATGGGATGGTGGCTGGAGTGCTCCAGTGCTTGGGAAATCCAATGTGGGGATAGAGCCCATCCATCTCTTTCTTTGCCTGGTTTCCTTAGGAAATGGTGCTGGGGTGATGGTGTCCCTCCATCACTACCTGCCCATTTGTTCCAGGAGTGCCCTGCATTCAGGGTCCTGGCACCATTAAATTACAACAAATTCCTACAAATCATTATGATGAAAATTGGGTGATGAGTAGAGATGCATAGCTTGCAGTGTGGCAGGTCCCAGGGGACCCAACTCACCATGAAACTGGTTCAGTTGGTGTCATTTGGGGTCATTTGGCTCAGACAACATATGGGGAAGTCCCTGTTGACACCT